AAAACCGTCTCGACATAGAGATAACAGCGACGTGAACTTCTTGGGACCCGCAGTTGGGTCAGGAAGAATACGGTCCCTAGTTTACAGGTACCAGTCTGGCGTTTACAATCATAGCAGATTACCCATATTCTACTCCAAGTATATTCGACACCACATATCCTAGCAGACCTTCCATTCAGAATCCGACCGTAGAAATACAACTTGTCCGTCGCTTTCATTTATTTTGCCTTCTAAAGATGGGGCGTTGTTTCTCACCACACAATCATTCATACCATAACTGAAACAGTTTGTCATTCCCGTCTGTGCCCACGTATGCACTTTCCCTTGTTTCATATACTTCGCAAACTCTGTGAATGTTTTTTTCTGAAATAAAGGGGACGATGTTGCGATGCTAACTCATGTGTCACTGAAATTCGCACATGATTCATTCATATCCCGTTCGCTTCCCAGACGCAAGTGTGATGCCTGTCTGTACCACGTCTTGCTGTCTTTCTGTGTGGTGGCGGTAGCTCAACAGAGCATTGCGTTCCACATTTGGATGAAGTTCTATTTGTTTGTGAATTCTGCGACTTCATGGATAACAGAAGTGGGGAAGGTTGGACAGTGGTCATTAAGGTTGAATAAATCACTCCTTTTGAGGATGTGGCCCAGGGGAAAATGCGAGGAGAGGTTAAAAACACTGCAAAACAGGGGCCGATTTAGGTGCAAACTTTAGTTGCTGTTTTAGGATGGAACTGGGAGGTTTGAATACGTCAAGAGCAAGGTCCATCGACAATAACTTCTCATTATATTTGGGAAAGTACGAGCTTCTGACATAAGCGGCACAGACTCACATGGCGTCTTCCTTCGTCTTCACAACGTTGGACTCAGATTGATCATATTGTGATTGGTCACCGCTGGCATGGATCAAGTGAGCATTGTCGTTCATTTTCGTCTACGCCTGTGGATTCAGATCACGCCTTGGTACGTGCCCGCTTCCGTTTACGTCTCGTACGTGGTCACACCAAAGTAAATGCCACGCGTCCCGCGCAGCTGCTTTTAGACGATAACTAGAGACAGTTTCCAGACAGAGCTGTCTACACAGTTATCGATGCAGATGTTCAGGACCCAAATGAACGCCGGCAACAGGTCAAGGAAGGTTTGTATGCCACTTCGAATGCCACCCACAGCTTTGGTTCAATCGGTATCACAAACAATGGATATCTTTGACATCAGTTGCTCTGTTGGATGCTCGTGGATCCGTCCCTCAATGAAGTGCGTAAATCCCTGAAACGCCAACTGACTAGGAGCCTGAAGAATGACTATGAGCAGTAGTGGATTGAGAAATATAAGGAAATGGAAAAGACTGCGTCCATTGGCAATGCTCGCAACCTTTTCTGTTTGATTAAAGGGATCGGTCCACGGAAGCCTAGTGTGGGTTAATCACGAAGTCCGACGGCTTACTGATTCACTCTCAGAGACGTCGTCTGGATCATTCGGCGGAGCACTTTAGGGAACAATTCAGTTGGCCCACTCCAACAGTGAACCCTCCCAATATACCTGCTGGATAAACGATGCAGGTAGATATCATTCCTCTATCAGAGATGGGGATTATGCGGGAGACAGGTTACTTGAAAAGATACAAAGCCGTTGGACCGGATTGGTTGTCTCCATCTATTTTTCAAGAATGGAGGCAAAGCTTAGGTTCCGGAGTTAACAAAACTCCTCCGTGACAGTGAACCGATTCCCAGGGAATGCTCTGAATAAGTGATTGTGCAGATTTACGGGAAAGGTGACATCCTCTTGTGAAAACCACAGAGGAACTAGCTTGGTAAGTATTGCGTCCAAACTGCTCACCGGTCTTATTCTCCACCGATTACGCAGTGCCGGCGAAATGTATACGCGTGCGAATCAAGCTGTTTCCAGACCCGGTCGGGGTTGTATCGACTACATCTTCACTCTTTGGCAAACCTCAGAGCACAGACACATCTTCCGTAGGCCCACAATCTGAGTCTTTCTTGATCTGAAAGCGGCTTTCGATTCAGTCGACCGCCCAGTTCTTTGGCGCTACCTCTCACTGAAAGGTGTGCAAGAGAAGTTCATTTATCTTATCCAATGCGTGTATGCGAACAGCCGAAGCCGAGTTCATGCTTACGGCGATCTTCCGCCCGAGTTCGCCACGGAACGTGGTGTTCGTCGGAGTTGCCTTTTTTCACCCTTCCTCTTCAATTTTGTAATTGAACTGATTCTTGAGATAGCCTTATCCTCGTGTCAGAACAGCAGCATCGACCTTTGATCAGGCAATAAACTGTCTGATTTGGAATATGCGGACGATATTGTTCTCTTGGGTGGAGGTTCAGGTAAGTTGTAAGCTCTTTTAGATGGCCTTAACAACAGTGTAGGAACGTTTGGGATGTGTTTTGCACGTTCAAATTGTAAAATGTTGTGGCAGGACTGGGTTGGCTCAACAACAAACCTCTTTTGGCCGGGGAAGCTCTAGCTGAGGTGGATAAGTTTTGTTACCTAGGCAATTACATTTAACCAGGTGGGCATATAACGGACGAAGAACACTGAAAAGCGCTGTTCGGTCAACTGAATCAAAACGCCTTTCAAATCTAAGAAAAACATTACTGTCGGTCGGCGGTGCGTGTGACGCATTTCAAGTAGTCCGTGAAAAGTGAAAAACTGGTCGATGCATCCTCTACCTGGGCGGAATCCGGCCTGCTGTTCGCGTGCATTCTTCTCGCGAATGGGCGTAAAACGGTGCAGCAAAATCGAGACTAATACTTTGGTGACTATCAGAATAAGGCTAATCCCACGATGATTACCACAGTCATTGCGTATTTCCTTCTTGAAGATGGGAACAATCAATTACTCGCTCCATATTAACGGAATACGCTTCTCGTTCCAAATGTCACGGAGCAAGATGGTAAGAAATTTTATCAACGCCCCATCACCCAGTTTGAAAAGAACTGGGGAAGTTCGTCGGGACATTCCGCTTTCCCCCGCTAATGTAATCGAATGCATGACTCTACTTCTACTTTCGATGGGGACTCCGGCGAACCGCCCAAGGAGTCACAGCTGTTGACACAAGGGTAACTACATTAGCGCGCGGCCAACTAAAGTGTTCCCTGAAGTACTCGGCCCAACGGTCAAGCTTTTGCTGTTTGCTATGGCTGGGTTCTCCATTTCTATCGCAAATCGTTTCACTGGCCTGGACGCGCCTTCCACCGGTGTCGCGAAAAAGTTTGAACAGTCTTTGACTGTTACCTGAAGCAGCTGCTATTTCCATTTCTTCTACCTTGACCCACCAATTTTCGCGATCATTCTTGAGGCTTTGCGTAACTTGCCTGTGTAGCTTTCTCCGCATCTTATTCATCTCCTTACGGTTCGAGAGCTGACGCTTTTGCTTCATTATACTCAATGACTTTTGCGAGATCCAGTATTTCTGATGAACATCGCATCTAGGACCACAGGCAAAACCTGCTGCAACGTGCATCATCTGCTTCATATGAACCCAATGCTCGTGTACATTACTGTTCGTCGTAGATCCAAGCTCATGTGCCAACTTCTGCGCGTAACGGGTGCGTACATCTGCATCACGCATACGTTGCTCAGCTAACCGGGTTTGCGACGATGACCATGAAGCTGGAGAGATGAGTGCATTAGAACTGATGCATAGTCCGACTCTACGTACGTGGAACAGTAAGATCTTCAGTTCTGAACAGAACTGCGCCACCGGTAGCTTACTGCGATATGATCAATCTGGCTCGGAATACCTGTAGAGTTAGAGCGCCATATTGCTGTGCGACGCGAGCTGTGTCGGAAATTTGGTGCTAGACAAGAACAATCGATTGTCTGCACAAAAATGGAGAAGTCTATTCCCGTTATCTGTACGCTGAGCGGGTAAAGCACAACGCCCATCTAAAATGTATTACCAGACAAAGGCTATTCCCGACACTATTTGACAGTGAATCGTTGCGAGTATCGACCGTGTAATTTGTGGGAGCATTATGGGTGGATAGATGGGGCAAGAGGGGTGGTTAGGGACAGAAGACAAAGGCTGAATGAAAGAGGGAACCGTGAGCAGTAGTTCACTTATCACTACCCACCCCGCTCGATGCAGTGGGCGGCGCGGTCCTGATTATCCTGCGCGACGACCGATGCAGTATGGAATTTGTGCAGTTCATGGGAGATGTTGGACGAATACTGCTAGGGTGTCCAGCCACAAAGCAGGAGAATGATTGGGGTAGGGCTTTCCCTGCTGTTTAACGCTGTACGATGCTGATGGTGATAACCGAACATGGTAGACAGATAGGGAGTTAGTGGTTAACAGTCAGCACACAAACTGCAGAAATCTGGATGAACACATGAAACCATAATTACTAAGGCGGCAGTGAACTAAGTCGTGTGAATACTCACTAACGTTCACTATCGCAAGGTCAAGGGTTCATGGTCAAGAGGCACACATCCCACCGTGGTCCCGCGTTGGCACGTCACAAAAAAGCAAACTCGACTATTGGCGCTGTTCGGGACTCCTGAACGAGTTAATTAGGCTTGAATTAATTCGCGGGTAAGAGACTTGAATCAAAACATCTTGAGGACATTATTTTGCAATGTCCGCCAATTCACGATGTGCGAAAACCGTAGTTACAGCTGTTTGATATGGCGTGGATGATGATACAGACGAGTCGATGTCCTGTTCGGAAAATGTTCGCGTAAAGAACACGACACTTCCCCATAAGTCGCTAATGTACCGCCTCGCCTTTACGGAATAATATTAAGCACAATGCTAAAGCCAACCACGAACTACTAACGAATACGTACTTACAATTTAACCACGATAAGATGCCGTGTGTATAGCAAACCGACGTTTTCTGTCACCCAAGCCCTACGATTGTAAATGATGGTTATGAAAAGTTATGGGATCAAACCCGCATGAACTGAAAGAAGTTAACTGATTAATAGTAATGTACAAATTGGGAACTAGCAAAGACCTGCAATGCGGCTGCGTAACTAACCTCGTGGGGAACCTCTTGAATGCGATCTAAGGCGCGAATGTGATCCAATGTATCGATCGATGGTGATAGGCCGCCGTGCAAACAAAATATCTAGTGGCGATCAACAAACGAACCCAGCTTACCGAATTATCAACCAATGCAGTCAATGGTAAGTAATCAAAGAGATCTGTAAAGTACTTCCAAACACTAGCATTGCCATATTTTCTTAAGCACTCGTCATAAAACCCGTAGACCTGGGTAATTTGGCGGCTCTCGTGATTTCCACGTAGAACGGTTATCCTATCCTTAAACCGCACCTACACAGTATTACCCTAAAGAAATCAAGTAACAGACCTTTAGAGCGACGAGAAGCGTGACTGTTTCCACAGAATAATGTCCGCGATCAACATAATCACCCATAAAAAGGTAGTTTGTATTAGGAGCTTTTCCACCAATTCGAAACAACTCCATGAGATCGTGGAACTGGCCATGAACATCACCGCATACAGTAACAGGGCTTTTCACATTCTGAACATTCGATTCTTTCGTCAATATATCCTTAGCCTGAAATGCGCATAAAAACTTTGGCTTCCCAAAAGAGACTAACCTTCTCGCACAGTGACTTAACTTGGGCTTCTGAAAGCTGTTTACAATTATACAGCTGTTCAATCCACTGATCTAGCTCTTTAGCTTCCGCACGGAAGTCACCGGTCATCGTCTGTGAAACAACCACCATGCAACGCACAAAAACGAAAGCAGGTCGTAGGAGCCGCCACCAGAGTTTTTCTGTATTGGGGGCGAGGACCGATGGAGTTTTTCGTTCACATCACGTCATAAATTTTCTTTCAAAAAGTGCGTCCAAGTTCCTCCTGTGAGTTCTCAAATAATTTCTTATTTTTTGTTTTACTCCTTCCAGTTCAGTTCAGTTCAGTTCAGTTTGCACAGGACTTGGTGTGGCTAGAGCCAATCGTGTGTCCAGATAGTTGTGTTGTCGGCGCGTTTCCGTAGCTCCCAGCACTGCGTGATTTTCCTTTTCTGAAAGGCAAACATTTTGTGCAGTATCAGCCCTGGCAGAGTTAGGTGGAAACAATAAGTAAGTTGCATCTGACCCTAAAAGCTGCTTGGCATAACTCGGGGTATACTGCCACCCAACATAGGTCTACTGCTTTCCTAAAGGCCTTCACTGTTGTGGTATTTATGACCTCTTCCGGGAGCTTATTCCAATAGGGTACCACTCTATTTGAGAAGTACTTCGCCCTAATTTGGAGCCTCGAATGTTTCCTTTGTAATCTAAGGCTATGCCCCCTTGTGCCTCTCTCGGGGATCAGCGAAAAAAGGTCTTCTCGACTTATTCCTGACAGTCCTTTCATTACCTTGAAGGTTTCTATCAAATCCCCGCGAATGCGCCGTCTTTCCATCGAGAATAGGTCTAGGGCACGGAGACGCTCTGTGTAGTTAAACCCCCTTTGCCCAGCCACCATTCTAGTGGCTAGTCCTTGCACTTTCTCCAGACAGTCGATATCTTTCTGGTAGTACGGTGCCCAGGCCTGCACGCAGTACTCCATATGCGGCCTAACTATGGCCTGATATATCGGAACGAATATCTCCGGATCTCTACACGACATAATGGATCTAACTGGAAAGAGTTCCCTCCTGGCCGTATTGGCTGCTGAGGTGCACTGCTTTGACGGCTTAAAGCTGTTGTCCATTATAACGCCCAAGTCTTTGACCTGCGAGACCACTTGCAACGAACCCACACTATTCTCACTAGCCCCTGTATTTGTGGTCAAGCATTGACACTTGGTGAGGTTTAGTGGAAGGTCCCATTTGCGTGCCCAGTTTTGTACTGCTAACACGTCAAGTTCTATATCTACTCCAGCTATCTTGACGTCATCGGCAAACATAAAGGTGGGGTTTGTAAGCCCACGTGCTAGGTCGTTGATGAAGATGAGGAAGAGCAGAGGGCCGAGCACCGAGCCCTGTGGCACCCCACTCGTTACACCTTCCGGTTTTGAAACATGGTTCCCCACCTTAACACTAAAGGTTCGCCCTGCTAAGAAACTACTTATCCATTGTCTTGCCTTTCCAACAATTCCCATGGACTGCAGTTTGACGTCCAGAAATCTGTGGTTCACGGAATCAAATGCCTTGCTGAAGTCCAAGTAACAGACCGCAATCGATTGCCCTTCGTCCAGACGCTTGGTTATCTCATCGAGGAACAGCAGGAGATTCGTCAGACAGGATCGCCCTGCCACAAACCCATGCTGAGCATTTGATATGAGGTTGTGTTGAACCAAATGCCTAGCGATCTGTTTCCTGACTATTCGCTCCAGGCACTTACACAGTACCGAAGTCAAGCTAACCGGCCGGTAATTTTCCGCCTTTTGCCGGGGCCCACTCTTGTAAATGCCTACCACTGTTGCTCTCCTCCAGTCTCCCGGCACAGTTCCCTCTCTAAGTGACGTTTCATACAGCTTCGTCACCGGAGCCTTCAGGACCTCGGCCAGAGGCTGAACGATTGCTGGATGAATCCCGTCTGGACCTGCTGCTTTGTTCCTATTCAAAGTTTGCAACTCCGCGTACACTTCTTCTTCTCCTACAGTAAGTTCGGGTATTGGAGGCGCCTGTGGGCCCTCCATTCTTTCCTCCAAACTATTTTCTGGTCGATATATGCTCTTGAAGAATTCCAAGAGCGTGTCAGCCTTGTCTTCGTCGTTTAGAGCTAGTCGTCCCTGTGCTCCTTCCAAAGTTGCTACGCTCTCTCTCATACGTTTGTGAGATTGCACGTAGGCGTAGAATCGCTTTGGGTTAGTGCGGACCGACGCAGCTAACCGACGCTCGAAAGCATATTTCTCCACTCTTTGGATCTCTTGAGCCCTGTTCCTAGCCATCTTATAGCTATTCCATGCCCCCTGAGTTCTGTACAGCTTGTACGCCGCCCAGGATCCCAGACATTCCTGAAGTTAGGCCACGTGGGGTCGGGTCAGGTCAGATCAGGTCAAACCACAGGACTGGCTACTCGGCCAACGAGTTTCCAGACTCATGTACGCGAAGACATCAGTATCTCAACGTGCTTTGAGAGCAAAGGCTGTAGGTACCTGTACATTTCCGACTTTTTCCATGATTCTCAACGTCCCTTGGTACAACACTCCTTTGTTGTACCGACGTTTTGTTGTAAAACGCCCACCTTTCTGAACATCACCACCGCGTTATATAAAAAGGCTGCCAATAAACCTTTCAGTCTGACAGGGTCTCATCTTCTGATTTCGAGTGCCTTGGAATTATACTGGTCGGAACTAACTGTGAGAAACAAAACATTTTAGAAGTTTCCACGGCGTCACTTGGCACTTCTCTCAATACCATCCTGTTCTGTTCAACGAATGGCTGTCAGACCGAACTGAACTGGCGGCTATCGGCTCTTTTACGCTCATTTTCTGATCACGAGAACAGCGAACAACTGTGAGTTTGTGTCACACCTCTTGTTTCATTTCAGTTTATAATGTACATACCCTTTTGGCCCTACGAGGCATTTGCTTGGCACCCTGTGGTCGACGGTTTCAGTCTCAGGGAGCAAAGTCGGATCCACTTCCTGAAGTCCAGAAACCCGCAGTTTTAACGGGTTAGGAGCAAGGACATGGCTTGCACATACACTGCATTCGGCGAGCGAAACATATTCAGGCCTCTGAAACTAGCTGGAGTGGGGGTTAGGACAGGATAGGACAGTGAGAGACTGAAGAAACAAATGAATTCATATGGAAGCACGAGTTAGAGACCGTTGAGAGGAGGGATCGGAAAAGGCCAGAGGAATGGTGAAAGGTTTAAATGATGAAAGACACAGTCGCTTGAGTTTCAATGAAGCGTGGGAAACTCTGATGTCCAAGCCTCGTCCAAAATAGCCTTGAAAAGGATGAGTGTTTTAGGACACTGCCTCTTCCGGATGCTTGTTCCACGCATTGGCAACTCCAAAAGAGAACATATTAGCCCAGTTATCCCGCAGTGCCCCGGGATTCATCCGTTCTAGATCATGTCCCCTCGAGGCTGAGATTCGGCAGTTTCAAAGAGAGGCACATCAGTCACCGACATTCCTTTTAGCTGTTTAACAGCCTCAAAAAACTCCCTGGGGGAAAAGTCCAGGGACTGCAATATTTCCGCACATAGTGGATTCCGAAGACCTGGGATGTTCCTTGTAAATCTTGGCTGCATGGTCTGTAGGGCTTATAGGGCACTGTAAATTCATGATCAAAAATCACTTCAGACAAATGTTACCAATTAGCACTTGGCTTTAAGCAGTTTGTATGTTGTTCGATGCCACAGGGCTGTGCGTCGTGTGTCTGCTCGAAGTTAGGACAATTGGTTTCCGCCAATTGAGAAACACATTATTGACTGCTCTGTTTGCGGACTGCTGAACGTTGAGCTCCTTTAGCTAGTATCGCGTCCGGCGTCGCTCCCAAACGTAGACGTGAATGGCATTGTTTCAGTAGGAAAAAGTCCTTCACCTATTCCATAGACTTTTACCGTTTTTTGGTACGCGTCGGAACTTTTGACTTATTGCCCGTTCCATGAGCCATTCTCGGGATCTAGTCAGCATTTGGTACATGCCTTACTAAACTGATGATCCGTTCGTCTTTACTAATTTTCTATCCATCCTCGAGTACCAGTAGATCATTTCCTCAATTTATTCAGTGGTAACTGAATATTTTTGGCTAGTTTTTTTCGCATTTTCTCTACTACATTGGTTTTTCACTTTTCGATCAACTGTAATTCATTATGCCATTTACAATATGAACAACCGTAAGTTTTTTATGCTGATGCAATTACATTTGCAGTTCGTTTCGCATCGTTCAAGGAAAAAAAAACCCAGAGCCTGGCTCGCACAGCTAGAATCAACGTTTAATCTGCGCAATGTGACTACGGAAAGTAGTATGTGTCTCTAAGCTGTCGCAGTCCTTCCTTCACTCATTGTCGACAAAGTGCAAGATGTGTTGGAACCAGAATAATCCAACCCCTTCGGACGCATCAAAGCCTCGGCCATCAGCCGGAGTGGTATGTTTGGCAAACAGCGAACTGTTCGTTTGTTCGCAGACACTGAGCTCGGAGATCGCAAACCCACGTAATTGCTTCGGCACATGCGGACTCTTTTAGAAACTACTAAGATAGGTACTAGTCTACTGAAAGAGATTTTACTCCAACGTCTTCCCAGCGACAGGCAGAACGCCCTTTATATGTCCACGGAGGAACGTCCCAAAAAGCTTCCCGAGATGGCCGACGAAAATGAGAAAACCTAGGAGGCAAAGGTCAATCAGGCGATTTCCCCACAAACTGAGTCTGTGGTGGCCACTTTTACGACCACTGTGCACGACCATGTCAAAAAATTGGAGGCAATCAGGTCGTCTTCAGTTGGATCTTCAGCTTAGCCATCACCTAACAGACAGAGCCGCCCAAACACACATCCCAACAGAAACCGTATGAGAATTCCAGTTTGGCCAACGTCAACTGACTCTCCTTGCTAATATCATCAGCTGTATCCTCCAAAAGCGCGTCATTGCACTCCGCCTTGTGCCATGGAGCCAGCCGGTCAGAGGCGCGAGGACTCCAGTGCGTAGCTGTGGCGGACGCCACTGACCAGGGTAGTCGCCTACCCGACATCATCGATCATAATTCAGGGACACTACTTGGTAGACACAGGTGCTGGAGTTAGTGAGCCCCCACACTCAAACTTTAAATAGGTGCCCCCTC